ATGGTAAATGCATGCACATTAAAGGTCTTCAAACAGTCCGTGAAAATGCATAGAATGGAAAACACTACATGGGTTTCAAAACCTTTTGCATCTAAATAAGCTTATTTTTTTAAGATTTATTTTTATTATTTTTTTATTGGAAAGGCGGATATACAGAGAGGAGGAGAGACAGAGAGGAAGATCTTCCATCCGATGATTCACTCCCCAAGTGAGCGCAACGGCCAATGCTATGCCAATCCAAAGCCAGGAGCCTCTTCCGGGTCTCCTGCACGGGTGCAGGGTCCCAAAGCTTTGGGCCGTCCTTGACTGCTTTCCCGGGCCACAGGCAGGGAGCTGGAAGGGAAGCAGGGCCGCCGGGATTAGAACCGGCGCCCATATGGGATCCCGGGCGTGCAAGGCCTTAACCACTGCACCATCGCGCCGGGCCCTATAAGCTTATTTTTAATTACAGTTTCTATAAACTTTCTGAAGTTCCTTCATATATGCATACTGCTATGCAAGAGCCCAGAACTTTTTCATTTCATAAAACCAAAACTTAGTACCCATTAAAAGGTCCCCATTTCCTTCTTTCTGGAGTTCCTAGAAACTGTCATTCTACCTTCTACCACCCCACAATGGGGTCTGCCAACCATGGAGTTCCTGGTTTCAGCCACGTGACTGCAGGTTTGAATGAATAATGGCTTGCTGAAAATGCTTTCTTTGAAGCAAAATGCTAATAATTTTTTTTAGGATTATTTCTATATTCTCTTAAGCATGAAGTAAAAAATGAAGCAATTGAATATTATGCAAAAGCTTGTGATGACTTCTCTATAATTAAAGAAGGCAGCTTTTCTGAGTTGTCTATTATGAGCATCATGCTATAGTGGTCCACGCCTCCTCTTGTCTTCTCACTGATCCCTGCGTCCTTTGCAAGCTCTGAAGTCAGCTGCGCGGGTCTCCAGCATACACACACACTTATTTTTAAAAATCATTTTAAATTTTCAAAATTATTTTTGTTGGAAAGACAGATTTACAGAGAGAATGAATACAGAGAAGTCATGTCATAGCGACAGAAAGGATGACCCAAAGCCTTGGGACCCTGCACCTGCATGGGAGACCCGAAAGAAGCTCCTGGCTCTTGGCTTTGGACTGGCTCAGCTCTGATCATTGTGGCCACTGGGGTGTGAAGATCTTTCTCTCTGTCTCTCATTTTCTTTGTAAATCTGCCTTTCCAATAAATAAATCTTAAAAAAAAAAAAAAGTAGCACAGCCTGTGCCCCAGGACTAGCCCTTCAGTCTTGCTCCTAGTGGTCTCCCAGTGTGATTCAGACCCTATAACCTGCAAACCATTCAAGAAATATATTTTTTTAAAGATTTATTTATTTTCCTTACAAAGTCAGATGTACAGAGAGGAGGAGAGACAGAGAGGAAGATCTTCCATCTGATGATTCACTCCCCAAGTGACTGCAATGGCCGGTGTTGCGCTGATCCAAAGCCAGGAGCCAGGAACCTCTTCCTGGTCCCATGCAGGTACAGGGTCCCAAGGCTTTGGGCCGTCCTCGACTGCTTTCCCAGGCCACAAGTAGGGAGCCGGATTGGAACTGGAGCTGCCGGGATTAGAACTGGCCCCCATTTGGGATCCCAGCGTGTTCAAGGCGAGGACTTTAGCCACTAGGCCATGGCGCTGGGCCCCAAGAAATATTTTTAAAAATAGGACAGCATCTTACCCTTTGGGCCACTGAGATTTCATCTTAAACTCCTATTAAGATCCCTCCCATCACTAAGATTCTTTTTTTTTTTATGACATTATCATCATTCTAGAAGCTTGCTTCTCTCTCCTGGGAAGAGTGAATTTGGGACATGACCTTATAGAACACAAAGGTAAGCATCATGAATCTGGGCTGTGGGTCTGGGGGGTGAAAAACACACGTTGACTGTTTCTGGGTAGCTCTAATATTGGGGCGTGGGAGAGCTTAGGTCAAAGCCAGAGAGAGAAGAAATGAGGCCAGTTAGCCTGGGAGTGAGAAACCAGAAGAGGCCAGTCACAGCAGCCATGACATTTCTCAGGGGGAATATACATAGAGGAAGGAATTTGAATGTTGTATAATTTAAAACTTACATAATTTAAGGCTAATTTTCTTATGGGAATAAGTGGAAAGCATGTGTATGTTTTCAGCACTTATAGGTCTTAATGGTTGTGGCATATTCAGCTTTTTTTTTTAAGATTTATTTTTATTGGAAAGGCAGACATACAGAGAGAAGGGACAGAAGGTCTTCCGTCCGATGGTTCACTCCCCAAGTGGCCACAACAGCCAAAGCTGAGCCACTCTGAAGCCAGGAGCCTCCTCTGGGTCTCCCACACGGGTGCAGGGTCCCAAGGCTTTGGGCCGTCATCAGTTGCTTTCCCAGACCACAAGTAGGGAGCTGGATGGGAAGTGGGGTCACTGGGATTAGAACTGGTGCCCATATGGAATCCCTGCGCATTTGAGTACCTTAACTGCTACCCTATTGTGCCAGAACCCAATTCAGCTTTAATATTGCTTTTGGTTGTCACAGGTCCTAGAGTTCTGGCTTTCAAAGGCAGGGTGAATTCACGCTGCTGTGCAGTTCTGTACAGTGTTTTCTCATATCTAATTTGTTTCCTAAAATAACAGACCTGGAGCATTTCTTCCAGCCCTTGTTCCACTATTTAATCAATGCTTCAAAAGTCAAAACATACATCTTTAAGTTTTATACATCTAAAAGGCAGAGTTACAGAGACAGAAAGAAGGGGAGACAGGCAGCTACTTCCCAAATGGCTGCAAGGGTCTAGGTTCATCAGGCTGCAGCCAGGAGCCTGGGATTCCATCTGTGTCTCCCCTGTGGGTGCAGGGGCTCAAGCACACAGAGCATCCGCTGCTTTCCCAGGCACATTAGCAGGGGACTGGATTGGAAGTGGAGGAGCTGAGACTTAATCAGGCACTTAATCAGGTGCTCATATGAGATGCTAGCATTGCAGGCAAGAGCTTAACATGCTGTGTCACAACCCTGGCCCTAGACTAGCAAAACATTTAAAGAAATTATAGAACAAAAAGCACAACAACACAATAATAAACAAAATCATTGCCTGAATGCTTTTTAGCTTAAATATTATGGCGAGCCAGGACTGTGCTGTAGTAGATGAAGCCCTTTCCTGCTGTGCCAGTCAGTATCCTATATGGGCACCAGTTTGTTGCCAGAGCCCAGCTCCAGCCGAGTTCGGAGCTCGGGAAGGGTGCGTGGAGTCGGCGATAAAGAAAGACACAGACACAGACACAGACGTTTGGTGCGTTCTCACACCAGCTCAGGAAAAAGCTGTCCTTTTTATTTACTCAAAACCCTTCTCAAGCTTCTGCACAAGCAACTATTCTATTTTTTTTCTTTTCAAAATTAAGGGGGCATGTACAGACATTTGGTCACTCCGTCTGCACTTCAAGGCTAAGCAGGTGCTCCTAAAGATAATTTTGTAAAATACTGTATTCATATTCTTCAAAGCAAGCTATTGTTTATTCTTCAACAGTAGCCATGGAGCAACAGCCAGGACTCCAAGGCCAAGGCACATGTGATTACCTGCTAATCAGTAGTACTTTCCCACCACATTTCTACTTCTACAATTTACCCATCATTTAATGGGAAAATATGTTACAAGGGAAAAAACCTAAAATCTAAAACAGAAACTTCAAATGTTAAATCTCCCTACAACTATAGACTCCTACAACCCCATAAACAATAAAGCATTTTTCATTAATAAAAGCATCCTTAATTCCTCTAGCTAAAAATTATAAAAGTGGCTAAAACAGTTACATTTTCTATGTTCCAAAAAAATTGCAAAGACAGGCTAGCCTTTGAGATAACAATAACTATATTTATTGCCATAGCAGTTTCAGCTCTCACTCCCATCACTTGCATTAATATTTAGGATATTTTCAAGCCCCTTTCCAGAAGGTGTGCTACATGTCTGGGCCAAATTCTAAGACAATGGTTAAGTGCCCAATAAGGTGTCCAAAAATGGCATGGGCTTAATTGTGCTCCTGTGTGTAAATTGTCAAAGGCCCACTCACCAAGACATTATCAGTGACATTAACTCTCAAGCTCACATCGGTTGCAACAACCCGCAAAAACTGTCTCACAGGGGAAAAAAACAATGCCTCAAAAGAATACAGAATTCTTAGTGGGGTGCTTGAGTGTCCATGCAGCCAGGGGGTGAAACAGCGTCAGGGTGGTCAGAGAGAAATACGCCGGGCCCTGCCAAACAGCTGGAAGCTCCCCCGGGCCCTGCCAAACAGGGGAGCTGTTCTCTTCACACCTTCATGCCATCCACACCTACCGCACGGACCCCAGCAGTTTGTGTCCCAGCTACTCCACTTCCAGCCCTCTGCTTATGGCCTGGGAAACTGTAAAAAGATGACTCAAGTCCTTGGGCCTCTGTATCCTCTTAGGAGACTTGGATGAACTCCCTGACTTCAGATCAACTCAGCTCCAGTTGTTGCAGCCATTTGGGCTAGTGAACCAGATGGAAGATCTCTTTCTGTGTCTCTCCTCTCTGAGACAATACGATTCACATCATTGATAAAATAGAGGAAGTGTTTCTGTCTAACCAGTTAATTCTGACAAACAGTAAGAGGAAAGTTTATAACTCATAAGACTAACATCATGTGATCTTGGGGGTAGTTTTTTTAAAAAAAAATTTGCAATTTTCAAAATTTGCTTACAAGTCATTTTCATATCTGTTATGCCATTATTTCCAAATCAGTGGCCCCCTTTAATGGTATAAATGTGGTGCTTTGCTAAGTGAAGATAGATTTGAAAACAAAACAAAAACGTAGTAACTGATTTAGTCAGACACAAACCTTTTGTTTTTGTAACACTAAGGTAATTATGTGAAATAAATAGTACCATTGATGCTGTTGTTTTGAACTGATATTTGCAACTTTAATTTTTTTCTTCCTTTGGGAACATCATCCCGAGCTCGCTCCTGTAACCACCGGCTCTGTCCTGCACCATCAGTGTCTCCTCTGTCCTGAAGCAGTCACCTGACCTACAGCCGGGAGTGTGTTGCTGTACGTGTAAGGCCTGGCTTTGGGGACAGGGTGGGGAGCAGACCTCAGCTGCAGCAGTTGCCCATTTCCCATTGAGTTTATACCCCTCTTCCGGCCTATTCAAGCGTTCAGTATGGAAGGGGTGTGTGCAAAACTGCCTTGTTCAACTCAGCCTGAGTAACTGCCATCACTTGACCAGCAGCACCTTCTAACTTTGGGTCATCCCATGAGTGCAACTTACAGGCATTTTAGTGGATTGTATTTTAAAAATAGAGCCTTGTTTTGTGAGAATTGTGTTTCTATCATTCTATGTATGTGAAAAATCACAACATAAAGGCAGTTCTTACCATGGGTCACTTGAAGAAAAGTCTAAAAGCCACCACTTATAGCACCTTCCCTTTCTAGTAACCAGCAAGATCTTCCTTTTACCTCACTGTGTACCCACACATTGCTCTCTTCATAGTAAAACATCTGGAAATATTTATCTACTATACCTACCATTTCTTGTATTTCTCTACCCACGTTAGCAGCAGTCACTAAACGCGCTGGTCACGTCTGTCCTCCTCCGTGTCTTGATGTACGTTTGCCACAAATGTGCTCCTCTTTTGTGAACTTCTAGGGCAGTACTGCAAGCAGGCTTCCAGGGTTCTCCCTTCTTGGTTTCTTTCCTCGACTTTCTTCTCTCCAAAAGCCCTGTCTTAAGTCAGCTTCTCCTAGGTGACCTCATCCACCTCCATGATTTAGTGTCTTCTGCCATCTGTCGTGCTTTCCATGGGTCATGCACTCTCCTTTCCAGGAGCCTTAGCGATGTGACAGGAGCTGTTCTTTCAGACTGCAATGCTTGTTCCAGAACAATCGGATGGTTGCCTCCTTCCCTGTGCTGCTCCGCAGCTTAAACTTGACCTCTTCTGAGATGCTTCCTCGGCACACAACCAAAGCAGTCAGCTACTAGGACATTTCCAATTACATCATCCTACTTCAATGATCTCCACGCTCTCATTTGCTGTGTCCCCAACTGGCATGTAAGCTCCATTGAAGTTAGAACAATAAAAAGTCTCTGGTATTGATGGAGCTGACAGCCTGATAACTGAACTCAGGTAAAAGGTAAATAGAGAGCATGTAATTGTTAGAGAAGAATAAAGGAGGCAGGGTGCCAGGGAGTGTGTATGTGCATGTGGGGAAGCTACTGGCAATTGTAAATAGGGTGACATCAGAAAGGGACTCTGAGTATTTGAGTTCAAAGAATCCAAGGAAACATGCAATGCTGAGGTTCCCAGGCTGCAGTGACTAAGTGTGCTGGGACAACAGAAAAAGGTGGAACATGACATCCTAGGATGTGGGTGTGTGGTCCTGAAGGACTGATCATCAAAGGATGAGCAAACTTTGGCAGAGGGTCTTAAGAAAGTCCACCACTGGGCCCGGCGCAATGGCGCAGTGGTTAAGGTCCTTGCCTTGCATGCCCGGGATCCCATATGGGCGCCGGTTCTAATCCCGGCAGCTCCGCTTCCCATCCAGCTCCCTGCCTGTGGCCCGGGAATGCAGTCGAGGACGGCCCAAAGCTTTGGGACCCTGCACCTGTGTGGGAGACCTGGAAGAGCCTCCTGGCTTCAGACCGGCATAGCATCGGCTGTTGTGCTCACAGATCTTCCTCTCTGTCACTCCTCTCTGTATATCCGCCTTTCCAATTTAAAAAAAAAAAAAAAAAAGAAAGAGAAAGTCCACCACAAACTTCCCTGTAACAATCGAGTACATATCAGGACAGCAGCACAAAACCAGGAAGCTCAACCAGGAATGCTTTCCAAGTCAGAGATGCAGACCTTTGCCTCTGGAAGTGCCCCGTGGCGTCTTCTGCATGTATGTGTACTCCTTGTCACTGTGTCCTGTGTCCTGTCACGGCATCTGGTGCGCACTTTTCTGTCTTAAATGATAACACACTGGACTTGCCAAACAAAGTGACAAAATGAGGGAGGCTTTTCTAGAACGTCTGTTCTTGACATTTATGTGTATTTTCAACCAGAATTACTTCGCTAATTCTGGATTTCTGGCTCATTCACTCAGTCCTATTTACACCTGAATACCAGCAAGTGAAGAAGCAGTATTGATGTGTATTCAGTTTATTTTGACTTTGCAAAGGAGAAGTACTAGATATAGTCAAGAAAAATTGCCAGGATACCCAATTGCTTTTCACTTTGTCAATAACCTAACATTTCAACCTAATATTTAGATGTCTATTTCATATAAAGTATTATACAGGGCATTGGAGAATGTGAAACACATGTCCCTTTTCTCAACTTAAGATCAAGTTAGGTAGACAAAACTCACACCTCCCAGAAAGATAAAAAGTAAATCAATAAAATAGACCTGCAAAGTAATGCAATGCATAACAAGAGTTAACTTCAGCTATTTCAATTGGATCTTGAAGAAATGAAGCAAGTGTGGAAAATGGATAGGAGGAAAGAAAATAGCAATGAAGTGGAATATAAGTTTTGCTGGACTGGGGCTTATAATAAATTCTTCAACTTAATGCCAACAGCAAAAGCCTAGGAGGAGAAAGGCCAGAGGAGTGACACCATGCTAAAAAACACAGGCGGCTAGAAAGTCAAGTAGAAATAACAACTTTGAGGTCCCTTACATAAAACACAAAGCAGTCTGCTACTCCAAGTAGCCCACTCGGGTTCTTTTGTAGCCAAGGGATCAGACAATCTAGGCCGGGCCCCTGGTTGGGAAGTTGAGTATGCATATGCTCAGAAACGTTGGTACTATTTAAGGCATTCCCTAGGCAAGTGTTCGATTCAGAGACCAACACACACAGTCACTGGCAAGTAATTCACAGGTCCTGGGAAAGTTTGTAGTAACTGTATGGGGCGCTTTGGGTACAGCAGAGCTGAACTGATGAACCATGGCCCCATCATATCATCGACAGCCAAAGGTGTACAACGGAAAGACAAGTCTCTAAGTCAGTTGTGTCTATCTGGACTTCGATCCAAGGGAGCTGGGAAAAGACTAGAGCTGACCCCGTGGAGCGGGCACTCTTCGAAGTGCTGCCGTGGTGTTAGAGTCCAGGCTAAAGCCCCGGACGTCAGGGTGCGAGCTAGTCAACCCCCAGAGAACGACAAAGAGTCTCACTGGTAATGCAAACTGCAAACAGAGTTTATTGCTCCAGCATGCTGGGGCCAGACCGCACTTGGGGCACACAGGCCAGCCAAGCCAGGTAGTCAGACCCCCAACAGCCCAAGACAGAAGCTTATATAGGCCCTTTGGGGCTGGGAAATACATCAGAAGTAACAACCTCAGACATGTTCATTTTTATGGCCTTCAGGCACAGGCAGCCTGTTCTGTTCCCATACCCATTATCTGTATGGTTCATCCCATTCTCACAGCCTTATCTTCCTCCTGTTCCTGGGACCGGAGAAGAATTGTGCCCTTGCCCCCCTGCACCTGGGTTCACAAAGTTGCAGGACAGCAAAGAACAGATTTATCACTAAAGCGGAATCCTCCCAAGCTCCAGGCGCCTCCTGGCCTAGCAAAGTAGCAGTTTTCTCTACACAAAGGAACCTCACACTGCCCAACAATAGCATTTTCACCCACACTCCAACAGTGGGGGCAGAGGCAGCCTGAGCAGTGAAGACCCCGCCCCTGGTCCTGGGTGCCCTATTTGTCGGGTGGGAGGCCAGAAAGAAAGGACTGGGCAGAAACCTACAGGTTGAGCGAGAAGAGGATTCCCTCCTTTCTGCCTTCGGGAGGAGAACTAGCCAGAGGCAACCAGGAAGTTTCTCGGTACACATTCTTGGTCTTTGTTCCCCTTGGTCAGTCGCACAGCAAGCCGGTGGCGGCTCGAGTTCCCAGAAGCCGTGTGGGAGGCCGAGCTGCGTGGCCATCAGCCCAGCGGGTCAGCCAGAAGCTTCCGGAGTTCCCGCCAGCGACCTCCGGCACACGGCCGGGGAATGTTCGCGGACTGACTCCTCTGGCTTGCCGTATCCGCCCGCAGCCGCCCTGCGAGCTGCGGATCCCGGCTCAGAGCGGGCTGGGAAGACACGGCCTCCTGACGTGGAGCTCCTCCGCCGGCAGTCGCTCGGTAAGAGGGGCGTCCAGCTGCCTCTGCCCGCCGGCGACAGTCGCCAGGGGCATGTGGCTGCCTGGTGGTCGTGGGGGGCCGAGGAAGGAGTTCGGACAGGGCTGTCCTTAAAATCGGAGTGTGATGAATGGGGCAGGGTCCGGTCCATCCTGTCAGGGCGTCCTCTCGGCGCCGGAGTCGGGGCTGGCGGCTGGTGGGGGTGTTGGGGGATGATTAGCGGGAGGGTCCTGGCCGCTGCCGGGCAGCCCTGGCAGGGAGCCGGCTGGACACGCCGGGCTGTCGCCTGCCCACTCCCTGCCAGCCCTCACCACGGGAAAGCGTCCTTCCCCGGGGTGTCCCATCTCAGGTGCTTGGACGGTGTGGGGTCAGACCTGCCTTGCTTCCCGTGCCCCGGGCTCCGTGGAACACACATTTCCAGGTGCCCAGGCACAGGGATGCAGCATCAAACGTTCGACCCGTGGGACCTGCAGCTGCCTCGGATGGTCTGTAAAACGGGGTGGTGGCTTCCTACGAGGCGGACGGACGAGTTGTCTGTGATGCCGGGATCTGTGCCTGTGCATCCCTGAGGGAGTGACTGGGTTACTGCTTGCGGTGGCTGCACTGGGGCCGCTCTGGGATCGGGATGTAAATTATGCATGCGGCTGTAGGACTCCGGCCATCCCTTTCACTCTCCTTGGGGTCCTGAATGACGCGGAGCTGAACGAAGGTTTTCCAGGTTTTGACTAACCTGCACCAGTAAACCCAGACAGATGCTGATTTTTTTTTTTCCTTTAAAAAGGCGTTTGGGCAGTGATATTGCTCTTTAGTATCATGACGATTGTTGGAAGTACAATCTAGGAAGTTCCGGTTTCGTTTCTCTTGCAGTTCTGTTGCACACTGGCCAGTCTTCCCTGGAGATAAGAAGTGTGATTCTGAGGGGTAGAGTAAACTTGAAAAATGTGACAAATGTTCCCCCCCCCCTTTTTTTTTGCAACAAATAAAATTATATCTTACCTAGTATTCAAAGGATTGCTTTTTTTTCTCCCATTGATACTTTTAGATTTGGAGTGAGCTTTTCCACTAGTAGTTATAACTCACCCATAGCAGCACTGTTCTGTGGTTTTATTAACTTGTTTAATCCTCAGAACAAGAAGAAAGTTAACTGAATACCTCAAATAGCTGTGTTTACCACTGTATTAAATAAATTCCATATTGGAAGTTTCTACTGATGTAATATTTAAATATACTAGTAAGAATGGGGTCAATTCTTGGAGCTTAATACTATCATATTATGTGGCGAATGTCAAGAAAATAAAATTGCATGAATAGTTATGATATGAAAAAGGCACATGCTTATTTTTTATTTCCCTTTGTTTTTCTACACAGGACACGTTGCCTCGCTTTCAGTCTGGGTAATATTTAAGTGAAACTTGCTTGAAATCAGCTCATCCACGGAGAGAGACTGCGGTCAATAACATCAACAGTGAGGTGGGAAGGAAGATGTTGTCCTTAAACAACCTACAGAATATCATCTATAACCCGGTAATGTATTTCTGTGAACCCACTTTTTACTTATGGGGTGATCAAGAGTAAATCCCATTGAATAGAAATGCCAGAATGTGAAGTGAGGGTGTTATCCAGCCCAGGCTGGCCCAAAGAGCCCCTGAATGATTGTAAGTGCTGGGAGTTTGCAGTGTGTCTCCTGGGCAGGAACAAGGTTTGCCTTAGTGCCAGTTGACAGGCAGAACCTTCAGAAGTACCTAATGTGCACCGAGCTGAAGTGGAACCGTGAATTGGGACTGGAGGTCCGGCACTTGCGTTCTTAATAGACCTGCTGGGAAACCTTGGCCTCTTTGGAGGGTGAGAGTCCCAGTGGGTGGTGTGTATGGATTCCAGCTTATATGATTTACGCTGTTGCTGCATTTTTTGCCTAAGTGTTAAGGTCTCTGTGCAAGAGTGAAGTACATACACTATATCAAGCAAAGCCGTAGGTTTAGAAGAAGTGTCCTCCAGGGGTGATGCGTTTAAAAAGGAAGAGTTGCAGAATCTGGAGCCAGTGAGACATTTTACATGATTTTGTGCAAGTTGGTGTGGACTGACTTCCTGCGAAGATGGAAAACGAAACCAAAGATGGGCTGCCTGCCAAGTGTGACCCACATGCTCTCTTGGCTCAGCTGGGAGAATGAAATAGGTGTTTGCTTTTGTCTTGTTTCAATGTTTTTTTAGGAAAAACTTTGTAGATTAAAATCCATGTAGATCTTGAATCTGGCATACATACATGCTTCCTAGAAGTTCTAGGGTCAGTGCTGTCAACCAAAGAATTAAAACAAAAAGGAAAAAAATTTCATTTCTTGAGGAATGGGTCCAGAGGGATCTTAGGCCTAGCTGGCTAACCATATGGGAGAGTAGTTCAGAATAATGTGTTTCCAAAAGAAATATTCTTGGCCAATTATTGATCTATTTATTTGTGTATTTTTACCTTCTCTAGTTTCACAGTCAGTTCTCAGAAAAAAGGTTAGAAGAAGAAATATTGAGCTGAATGGCCAAAAAAAAAAAAACCCTATTTCCCTGTCTTTACATTTCAGTGCTATAACATATTATATTGCTGACAATATCCGGACTGCTCCTCAAACCCATCCCACCCCACCCCTCATAAAAGAAGCTATACGCTTTAAGTTACTGAGTTGGGATATTTTGCAAGCTAGACATAGAGAACCTACTTTCTTGCATCATGGTTATTTTTATTTTCTCAGTGAGAAGTTGAATCAACCAGAAAGTGTTGAGTATCTACTATATTTTTCATTCAGCATTATGAGGCCAAAACTGTCATCTTCATATTGTTTTGAGAATTTTGATTGAGTGGTTTCTAAATATTTATATTGAAGATGGTTTCTATGTATATGTATTTCTGTCATCTTTATTGTTTATAAAATTTGATTCAGATTTGATTCATTTGCACATGATGTCCATTTTAAGTCTTCTTGGGAAAATATATATATATGTATATATGTTTGGAAAAGATAAATGTTGTAACTAGCCCATTTTTTTTTCTTATTTGGTGTTTCTTTTGACTAATTCAATTGATAGGATTTCAGGATGTAAAAAAAAGAATCAGGCTCACTTTTTCTTTACATTCAAATTCAATGAATAATTTGGACGGTGGTGTCTACTCCGTGCTGAAGCACTATCAGTGAAGTGCATTTACTGTTCCTTGTCCACCTAGCTGTTTTATTATTGTGGTTTGTAGTGTTAAGATATGATTCAGTGCTGGTTAAAAAGTCACTTATAAACTAAACAGAATTGGTTGTTTCTCTAAGTTAATAAATCACACTTCAACATTAATGGCTAGGGCTGAGCAAGGCCAAGGCCAGCAGCCAGGAGCTTCTTCCGGGTCTCCCACCTGGGTTCAGGGGGCTCACGAACTGGGAATGTCTTCTGTTGCTTTCCTAGGTACATTAGCAGAGAGCTGGATTGGTAGTGGAGCAGCCGGAACTTAAATCTGTGCCGATATAGGATGCTGACACTACAGGTAGCAGCTTAACCGGCTAAACCACAGTAATGGCCCCAATAAATAAATCTGAATAAAATCAGTGAAGAAGTTCTAAATGAATTGACATCTCCAACATATGTTCAGTAAGAAAAGTTGGGCACAAGACAATTTGAATAGCAAACATGTTACATGCAGGGAAAGAAACTAAACATAAAAAAGGTGATGTACGTAACACACTGCCTCTGGGCAGCCGTAATGCACCTCAGGAAGGGTAGGCACACGGAAACACTGATACATGTGATTGTCCCTGGCAGGAGAACCGAGCACTGGGATAGAAGCAGAATTTATTTCCTTGGAACTCTTAAGTCTTTACTTTGCCAGAAAATGATTTGTACGTATTATCTTTAGATTATTAAATAAGAATTAAAAAGAGAAAAAGTTGGTATTCACAAAACATAGTTTTAATTGTGAAGACAAATCATCTTCAAGCTGTTGTTGTGTGGTTGCACCAGAGGTTAACAGTTCAAGGGCAGAAGGAAGGGGGGAAGACAGACAAGCAAGGTACAGAGCTGCCTGGGAAAGGCAGGTGCTCGTTTTAGACTTGTGTTTGCAGCCTTAAAGGGCTGGCAGGATAGCCAGGAGAGCTCAGGGGCCATGGCAGGTGACGGCCAAAGCTGTGCTCACAGTAAGAGAGCTGAAAGACATCTACAGTGCTAGCAAAGCAATTACAAAAGAAGTTAAAGATTTTTCTTGTAAAAAGCAAGAAATTGGGTCTGTCACCTGCGGTCTGTCATCTAGTTCAAGTCTCGGCCACTCCACTTTCCATCCACTCCCTGCCTGTGGCCTGGGAAAGCAGTGGAGGATGGCACAAGTGCTTGGGACACTTGCACCCATGTGGGAGACCCAGAAGAAGTTCCTGGCTCCTGGCTTTGGACCAGCCCAGCTACTACCATTGTGTCCATTTGGGGAATGAACTAGTAGATGGAAGATCTTTGTCCTTCTCTGACTGTAAATCTGCCTTCCAAAATAAAAATAAGTAAATACTTAAAAAAAGTATTGATGAAAGAAGATAGAAAACAAAATAAACTTAAAATATAAAGACATTAAGGATTAAAGGAGTCACAAGTTGGAGAGCAGACATGACCTCTCCCCTAGTGAGCTGTCGGTGATGGAAAAGGAACCGCCAAAGAATGTCAGGGACTCCTGCAGTTAGAGAGATTTTATTGCTCTGTGTTTTCGTATGAACTAGAGAAGTAGAAACCGAAGTACTCAGATCACCGAGAAAGGGTGTGTGTGGGAGCAAGGCTACTTGAGAAACCGCAGCAAGCAGCTTCTAAGTACTGTAAAAAAAATCGTTTATTTATTTGAAAGGCAGAGTTGCAGAGAGAGATAGAAAGAAGTGTAGAGAGCTCTTCTAGCTCCTGGTTTATTCTCCAAATGGCCACAGTGGCCAGAGCTGGTTCAGGAAACCAGAGTTGGAGTTTCTTCTAGGTCTCCCATGTGGGTTGCAGGGCACCCCAGTCTTTGGACCATCCTCTGTGCATTATCAGGGAGCTGGATCAGAAGTGAACTTGAACTGGCACCCATACAGGATGCCAGTGCTTCAGGCAGCGACTTTACTAGCTATACCACAGGGCCAGACCCTACCTAACTGATTTTATGTTTGAAAACATATTGATATATTTATTTGAGAGGCAAAGAGGAAGATAGGGAGAGGGAGAGGAAGAGAAAAAAATGATAATATGATATCCCATCTGCTGGTCCACTTCTTCAAATGTCTGACGTCTGTGAACCCAAGGCGGAGTTGGTGCTGGCCAGGGCACCAATACCAGAACTCAATTCAGGAGCCCATTTATTTGGGTTATCACTGTAGCTCTCCAGAGTTTACATTAGTTGGAAACATGTCAGGAATGGGAGCCGGGGTTTGAAACCATGCATTTCTTATCTGCTGGTTCACTTCCCAAATGTCTGTGGCAGCCTAGACTGGGCCATTCTGCATCCAGGGGGCAGAAACTCAGTCCAGGTCTCCATGTGGTGGCAGAGACCCAACCACTGTGGCCATCACTGCTGGCCCCAGATTATTCACTAACAGGAATCTGGAACTGGAAGTGCGGCTGGCTCTTGACCCTGGCATAAGGAATGTATGAGACCCCACTGGCAGCCTAACTTGTAGACCAGATGTCTGCCCCAGGACGCTCAGATTCTTTCCAGCTGCAGTCTGCCTGACAGCCTGGCATACAGTAGACATTTAGCAAGCAATTGTTAAAAACGCAAAGCAGGCCCGGCTTTTGCGTCAGGATCCCATGTGGGCACCGGTTCTAATCCCAGCAGCTCCACTTCCCATCCAGCTCCCTGCTTGTGGCCTGGGAAAGCAGTTGAGGACGGCCCAGAGTTTTGGGACCCTGCACCCATGTGGGATACCCAGAAGAAGTTCCTGGATTCTGGCTTCAGATCAGCATAGCATCGATGGGCCATTGCACTCACTTGGGGAGTGAATCATCGGACGGAAGATCTTCCTCTCTGTCTCTCCTCCTCTCTGTATATCTGACTTTGTAAGGAAAATAAATAAATCTTTAAAAAAAAATTAAAATAAAATAAAAAGGCAAAGCACTGTGAAATAGAAATTTGGCAAGTAACACCAACCCTGACCATTGCTTAACCTTACAATATTGTCTCTAATGTAATCATACTTGCATTGTGTTTTTTTTTAAAGATTTATTTTTATTATTTTTTTTCATTGGAAAGGCAGATATACAGAGAGGAGAGACAGAGAGGAAGATCTTCCGTCCGATGATTCACTCCCCAGGTGAGCGCAACGGCCGATGCTATGCCGATCCGAAGCCAGGAGCCTCTTCCGGGTCTCCCACGCGGGTGCAGGGTCCCAAAGCTTTGGGCCGTCCTCGACTGCTTTCCCGGGCCACAGGCAGGGAGCTGGAAGGGAAGCGGGGCTGCCGGGATTAGAACCGGCGCCCATGTGGGATCCCGGGCATGCAAGGTGAGGACCTTAGCCACTGTGCCACCGTGCCGGGCCCTGCATTGTGTTTTAACTTTA